CAACAAATCTTCAACCTCCCGCAAAACACCCAGCAAAACGCCCAATCATAAGTACTAAAGACATCTAAAAAAACACCACACTCAACCCTGAAAAACTCCTCACCATGTTCACCGCCTTACTATCCTTTCTCGAGCATGTTCTGTTTTCTCGTTCATCTCCAAGTGGCTGGGTGTAAAGTTCCCGTGCTACTCAGAGAGACGACGGCTTGACACTGGGACTCGACCACCAAGGCCCACACCAAGGCACGGTAGTTCACCTCCACGAAAACTCGCTCCGATACGAAGAGTGCGTCGCTACGCTAAAGGCGGATGCCATTCAGTTATCTAAATCTACCCTCTTGAAGGGATAAAGGAATCAAAGCTAGGCAACCATGACCTCCAAAGACTACAAGTCCAAAGCCAAGGGTTTTACCATGTCTTACCATATCCGTATATACGCTAGAGAAATACCGTAAAACCATGTGTACAATGGGTAAACCTCACAGACGTTGCAAGACTCTCTGCAAAACAGAAACTTATTGGCAACAAAAACAGGACTCACCATTGAATGCCATTTCTCTCAAATCAATTTAGTCATGTGTTCAAAGAAAACACCTTCGACCTTTCGCTTTGGTAGCAGTTCTCAGTCTGCTCAGCTCTCCATGCCCCAGTTCTCACCCGTTCTCAGTCTCAGTCAGCGCTCAACGCTCCGCGGAGATTGCTCCCCTCCTCGTGTGGAGGTGCGTAATTCACCTGCCGCAGGGACAGGGAGTGTTTGGATTCCAAGATACAGGAGGGACCCGTCCAACTGAAATTCCAGGGTTCGGGGGTGGGTATGATTTAAGCTTTAATGTACAATAGACTCTTGATGAAAAAAAACGCACTTGCCACTGGGTCCGAGCCTTCAGCTTTGTGCACGGCGTGGCTGTCACTTCGACGTTTGACTGGGTACGAGTCGAGTGCTGCCATGGGTTTGATGGTGCCATTTCTCTTTGGGATTTCAGTCCAGCTGGAGGCATAGACTGTCACTGCGTTTCTTCGCCAGAAATGGAGGGCTTCGTTGTGACTTGTCTTCTCAAAAGGCTTGTAGATATGTCTTTTAGTTCTCTGGTGCAGACTTGACGTACTGGATATCAGGCCCAAGGAACGTACTTGGCGCCAGACGGCTACTCTCTTGGTGAACTCTAACCACAGTGACCTGAGAAAGGACCCATCATCTGGGACCAGTAGCTTATGAAGCATTTGGCATATCCCAGACACGACCCATGGGACTGGCATATTTGCATACATTGACCCCTAAAACAAACCCAATGTAGGTAAATATGCCAGTCCCATGGAGTGTCTGGGTATAGTACTTAGCTCTTTCCCTGCGCCTATAAGACACCCTTCGTGTTTGTGACTTGCCATCGATCAGAGGTCTACAGGCTGTAGATGGTCATAGGCCATTCTTTTGGCTCAGCATTGCATCGTATATTTCTCAGTGATCTCAAGACGGGGTACAACCAAGTGTGTCTACGTTTTGGAGCATCTTGCATTCATTGGCAATTGTCCCACAGTGTACTACAACCCACCAGTACTCGTCACAAAGCTGCAAGTACTCCTCCCGAAAACATGGAAAGCAATTGATCGGCCACCTCACGACCCTTACAGTTGCGGAGCACAAGTAGTAAACGAAACGCACGCGCGCTGCACCGTGACAGGCTTTCTCAAAAAGCGCCGTCTTTCAGAGCTCAGAAGTCCAGACCCCGCCTGTCCATTGTCCAGCTGGGTGCACAAGTGCCGGTTGGCGAAGATCACCCGTCGATCCGGGTCCAAGGAAGCGAGGAGGCAGTCACCCCAAGGTGTAGAAACCTTCCTCGGGATGGACACCCCGAGCTTCTCGATCGGTGCAACGTTCTTGGCTTTTTTTGAGTGGGTGGTGTGTGAAGGTAGTTTGAAGTGAAAGATGTTTTGAAGCCATGGTTCCGACCCCAACTGTTAGTATGTGTTGTTGTTTTCTTATGTGTGTGTCAGCAAAAAAGGGAATGGATACCAATCCCAAAACCTCAACGTGTCTATGTTTCACTGCTCTCAGCAAGTCGTTGCGGAAAAATCACCGGGTCTTTGCCCGAAATGGGAGGATGCCCCAGATCAAGTCGCTAAATGGTGATCCACTACATGGTGATCCAAGCTCATTGTGATCATCTCCTTCTCTCAGCACAAGCATCAGGACAGTCAACCCATCACGTGACGGAAACGAGCGTCACCCTCCAGCGAAACGGACGAAGCGGTTTCTGCTTCCAGATTGGCCCAAGAGGGGTCACCCATCGCGACCCATCTGCAGACGTTCCTCATCTGCTTCGATCCGGGCCAACATCCTTCCCCAAAAACATCACTCCGCCGTGCGTCCAACGATCGTCGCCCTTCACCTGAAGTCGGCTGCGGGGAGGCATGGGTTCTCATGTTGGAAGACATTGGAAGCATCATGCCCAAGCCCAATAAGATACATTGACCCCAGGTCAAGCGTCCCAATGAAGGTAAATTTGCCAGTCCCATGGAGTGTTTGGGAAGGTGCGGATTTCCCATGTGTTCCCCTGTGTCTGGCCTTGGTTTCTACCGTCAGAATCGGCCGGCGTGTCCTAAGAGCCCGTTTTTTGCGGGTCAAATACCTGAGATTTTACTGCAGCTGGATCATGAAACATTGTTCACTGAAGCGCGGGGACCAGGTTTTAAAGGTTCTATTGGGTCTTTGGCAACCTTTAGTGGGGAATGCGTTACTTACTTTCTGAGAGTTTACTACTAGCTCGTGGACCATTCACCACCGGGCTTTCATATGGTAGGACATGTGACATGCAGGGTCCGTCCGGAGTTGGAAGCTCTGCTTGAGAGCACGTCCCTGCAAATGAGCCTGGTCCAATGAGCCTGGGAAGGTCCCTCCAACTGTTTTACTCCTGACCCGTTAATCTGAAACCGCTCGAGCGCGCGCTCGACCTTGGGTGATGAAGTTTTCATGCCGGCGTATCAGCACAGGCCAAAGCCGGGTGGTGTACTCCTTGCTTCCCTCAGATCCCGTCATGTTCGCGCAGGATTTTGGTTGATTCCGGCCGAGGCTCCTGCACACCGCTTCCACCAATCAGCCCATAGCGTGGATGGACTCCCAACGGAGGCGCAGGCTTCGAGGGGTCATAGCCGCCACTCCTGGGAAAGATCGCATGAGTGGAATTCCACTGACCCAAACAGTACAAGTGGGTGGCTTTAAGTACATAGTCCAGTTTTATGCGTTGTTGGGGTTTTGGAACCTGGGTTTCTAGTCTCCCTAGCGCCAACTACTCCCGCTTCGAAGGTGGTTCAAGTGTGGGGAGTCTAACCACCTTCTGAGGATATGGTTGGAGACCACTGGTGCAAGAAAAAGGGCCTTAAAAAAATGATGCCCACGTATGGCATAGTGAAAGACATTGAGGTGGATTCCGATGTTTCAAAGACCTATAATATATACAGTATGTAACTATAGGTCCACCGCTCATAACGGGCCGTGGTACATGGCAATTCTGATCATGATTGGTATATGCACATAATTAGCTGTGGGAAAATGTGTTCAGCGTCTTCAAGCATTGAATGGCGTATTTACATTGGGAAACACATTTCCTGTGTACTTCCCAGTAGAATTGACACTTCAACATTCAAATCAAGTTGTCCGCAACTATCGAGCGTTTGTAAGTTTTAGGGTTATACAATCCATTGTTTTTTGGGGGTCTATTACCACACAAGCTCCTTTTCCAACTTCTGCTTGCACGCTCCGTGTGCTTTCAGCAATGTGTTCAAAGCCGAGTAGAACTCTTTTGGGGTCGCATGACTAGAACACACACGGTCGCGACTTCTTGGGCCTTCATGTACAAAGAATACGGCAATACAAGAGATAACAAAACGCATGGAAACGCCATGAAGAAAGAAGGCACATCCCCTGACACATACGCATGAAAAACAAAAATTCACTTCACGAGGAAGTAATTAGACACATTGCATGACATTGAATGGCTTTATGCAAGTACTTTTCCGGGGAACACACCGTGATTAAGAACGAACATATTCTACATCCACAACGGACGCTATTATCCCAGCCCCACCCTCCCCGGCCCTGCATAACCCATGTTTATCACACGAAAAATTGATGACATGTCTCATACCTTATAGTCATATATTAGACCTAGAAGCCATGTGACCCCTGTTTTGACTGAAAAAACACATGTTTGGGGTATTGGATGGTCCAAAATAGAGATCACTCAGGGTCTAGCAAAAAAAACACATGAGAGCTTTAATGGGTCATTATAGGACTATGTAGCTTTAATATGCTTCAATAATACTACATTTGATGCTTAAAACAAAAAAGACACAACTACCTGCATGCTCCAACATCTTCCTTTGTGTGGGAAAACATCCATGGACGACGAGCCCCTCGGGCCCTCGGCTTTTCCGAACCGCTTTTCGCCGGGCATCATGGCACCACACACGCGCCGCACCGAGCACGGCGGCTTCCGAGTCTCTGCACCGCACGTTTGAGCCGAGAGAAACAGCAGGGGAAACACCCAAGTGTTCTGAGTCCATCAAAGGATGGTCCAGAAGATGGTGTTCAAATCTATGACATCGAGGTGTTCTTTTTGGTATTCCAAAGATTCAAATCAAATTGACTGAGCATGACTCAACGCATTGATGGCTTGAAACCCCGTCACTTCTTTGACCATGGAAACCTTCTTTGTCAAAATACCTCGACAAGAAACTGGTGATCAAATGTGATCAATAAGAGCCTTCATGAGCCTTTCGCCGTTCTAAGATGGAGACCAGACCCTTCGCCCTCTAACTAACACCCAAAGGCCCAGCAACCCTCAGCTCGCGGCCGGAACTTCGTGTGCCAAATCATAGATTTCACGATTGAATGTTCACGTCCCTTTGCTCATCCCCCTCAGAATCAAAACCACCACCGGTCAGGAGAGCGATCAAAAGCCAACATCGGCAGCTCGGATGAACTGGTCTCTCGGAAGTTGTGCCTTGGAGGCTCTGGACGGACACTGCGAGGCGCCTGATGAAGAAAATGGAGAAGGACAGGTCAATGGCCAAAGAACCGCACAATCGGTGATTTCGTACCGTGGGAGTAGAGGGTGCTAGGGTGGGTGCCAGGGTGGCAACTGGTGCCAGATGGTGCCAGGTACCACAGTCACTGGGTTCCTGGGTCTTGGTTGTTCACGAGATTTTGGGGGGTATCCGATAAATTGATCAACCAACCAAAGGCGAAGACCATCTATGCTACGATCGGATCGGTGAAGTTGCCATTTAAATCAATTTACAGCAATTTGTTTTGGAGGAATGGGTCTTCTGCCTTTGCTATCCTGGTCTGCGAGACCATAACCATCCATAACCCGAAACAAAAGAATCGTGAAACATGGGGCATGTCCATAAACATGTCCAGCAAAACTTGTCCCAAATCCTAGCTGTCGCCGGCCAAACGTGCCGAGATTCAGTGTGATACATTGGGTTGAACATCCATGGAGCTGGTGTTCCTGTGCGCGGGTATGGCCGGGCATGGCGGACCAGTTGAATAACATACCTCTGGGCTGGTTGAACATACCTCTCACGGCCCCACACATCTCAACACGAGAGATATCGCCTCCGACATGGACGCGGTGAGTTGTCACGAGGTTTTCGTACTATAGCAACCCTCGGTATCCCTCGGTGTGCCTGCACCTCCTCTTCGACATCGAAGGGATCAAACTCCCATCGGTGCACCTGAAAACACGGTGCCAAAGCACATCCGAATGGTTGGAAACGGCACGATGTCGATGTCGCACAGCTCTGTTGACTTCCCAACATGGAATCTGTATGGAATCTGTATATGGCACGTTTACATACCAACTGATACGGCCGCGGGTGAACCACCAACTGATCGGTACCATCTCTGCGCCGCCGCGCTCCGAGACAGGTCGGAAACGCTTTGACGTGGACGGTGGACGGTGGAGCCAGTGGACCCTCTGGAAACGAGTCGATACCATTCCCTATAGGGATCCGTTTTCGTACCGAACCGACACGGTTCGGTACGACTGGACCCGACGTGACTTGGCACCTACATAAGAGTGTCGAACACAGAAAACCGTACCTGAGAAGGTACGACTGGATCCCTAGGGATTGTTGTTGTAGAAGGACATCCCACTTGTAGAATGTCCGTGCAAGTATGGGTAGACCGGACATCTGCTGGAGATTCCTGCACGGTGACACCTCAATTGGGGTAGTTAGTCAAAGTGAGTAAACCCAAGAGTCACTTGGTCGCTAGTCTTCACACGTCACCCACCCAGTCCAAGACCACTGCACCTTCCATTCCTCAACGCCACTGGGAAGGCATAGGAGAAGAGAAGCCTGACGCCATGGAACCGTCATGGAAGAAGCATCACCTGGCCTGACATGCATCAGGCCAGGGGGTGTAAGGAACCGACCTTCACCGTACCTGCCAACCATGATAGACGCTATTATGGGTTGACCATACAGGCTATGAGTCTCTCAACCGGAACACCATGGTTGACCCATGACAATGAACAAACCAGACTACCAGGAAGGTCAACATGATTTTGGAGCTCGATCTGGGCGCGCAGGTTTGCTGTCATACATCGCTTGCATGGTGGAAATGACATGAATTTAACTACGGTCGTGCAAGCGGATGTACCACGTGCATATATACCTTGTGAATCACAGTAACACATCACCCATACTAGTTGGTGTTGGTGTTTCTGTTGAACATTGCCGACCAACTCACTAGTCTAGTGAATGGTGCGAGAGTTGTGAGTCACCCATTGCAGGAGGTCATCCACTTCGATCCAGGCCTGCAACGTCGACACGCAAAACACCCATAAACACCCTAGACCTTCATGTCAGGGTGTCCAGTGATGTCAGTCCGGTGGAGATCCACCAAGCGTAGTGGATAGTAACTGTAGGGTATTCAATTGGAGATCCCTTCGAAGGTGGAGGTGACTTGGGGGCCTTCCGGAGGTCCCTTGTCTCGAGCCCCAGGACGACCGCCTGACCACCTGAACGCTTCAGCTGCGCGCTAGACCTTGAGCTGCTTTGGTGTTTGACTCAGGGCGTGTCAGGAGGGGACCCAAGGGATGCTTGGGGTGGTGTCAGTCACGGTTAGTCTCTGTGTTGAAGACTGAAAATCACAAAATGGTTGGGGAGTGAGGAGACTGAGACACACATAAACAATCAATAAACAAAACAGTTATACTGCACATCGGATTCTGCCCGCCGCTGTATACAGTCTCCAAGTCTTTAGATCTTTAAAGGGGATCCACTTAGTCACAGTAGGTGTGGCAGGCAAGGGCCGAGCGCCTCAGCGCTGAGCGTCTGTTGCTTTTGGGTCAGGTTGGTCGGACGCGTGGACGCGTGATGCACTCGCAGCTTAGACCCAACATCTCCGGTGTTCACCGGACATAGATCACCCAATGGTCGCGGCACGGAACATAATCAGCCTAGGGTCCATGCACTTCCATGTTGGTGCATCGGAGGGTACGTACTCCACTGATTGCAATGTATGAACTCATGTGGGAATCTCGCAGAACTACTCAGGGGGGTACAATAGGCGTGCCAAAATGTTTCGCTTCGCCAAACAAGAGGGGAAAAAAGTTGTTTAATTAATGACCTTGTTCGGGGGTTTGATTTGGTATGGTTTTGCAGGCTCTACGTTTTGTGTTTTGCAAAGTTTTCTTACACCAGTCTATAGGCTATAGGGCCCGGTAACTAGGGCCCTATGGATCCCTATGGGCAGACCTTCCTCTTCTGGTTCTGTGCTCCCAGACCTCTCTGAGGAAAAAAGCACCACGCCCTCGCTTTGTCGCCTGGTCGCGCTTTGTCGGCGAGGTGCTTTGGAGCATCCGTGACTGGGGAGATCTCCAGTGGTTTCAGTCAGAGTGGATGGCACTGGTGCCCCAAGATGTCTTTTGGATGGGGGTCCATATGAACCACCAAACTTGGGGTAACCTGTGCCATCTACTCTCAAACCACAGCATCCAATTCGATCCGTAGCTGGATTAGCTGGGCGAGTGGCCACCGGGCGAGTGGCCAAGGGTGCCAAAAGCAGGCAAGCAGTCTGCATGTGTGCGGACTCCTTGATGCGTTGACTTATTCTTGCTTGTTTCGTACCTGGACATATTGTTCATCGCATTCTCAGAAGTTTGCCACAAGAATATCAAGTAATGTTTCCCAAGACTTTCACGTCTCTTGCTCTCTTCCTCTCTGGGCGGTCCATGAAACAAACCTTGCCAGTTCCACCAGACATCACGGGTGATCCGTAGCTCACCCTTGGCCTCGCGAGAAACGGGCAAAAGCAGAGGACTCGCTGGGGAGGGCAAAGGCTTTGGAGGTCTTTGGATCCAGAGAATGTGGCGACTTTGGGACTCTCTGAGGGTACTAGGCACAAGAAGCTACTAGTAACAAGGGCATCGCTACTAGTAACAAGGGCATTACTACTGGTAGCAAATAGCTACTAGTAACTACTAGTGGTGATTTGAACCCAGAAAAAATAGAAGCTTCTATCGAGGCTGTTCTAGCCATACTATTTTCGGTTCGGTAAGCTGATCAATTGCGACCATCTTTTTCAAAAAAAGGCTCACAAGTGAGCCCATCTATATACATGTTCAGTGCCTTTCTCAGGGCCCCCCCCAAAAGACACGAGGCCACTCACATGCTCACCGGAGATTACTACACCTTTTCGGCAGAAGAGTTCGTCCTCTTCGTTCACCCGATCTTCGCCTCCACTTCTCCCTCCAGCGCTTCATATCGGCGCAAATCGTCCTGTCGCGCTCCGCGCGGCGCGGAGGGAGAGGGGTCCCGACCCTCTCAGCCCATCGGCCACTGAGTTGGCAGCGTTGGGGCTGGAACTTGCACACAGGCCCACATCAGGATGGGGAAGAAACGGACAGATACTGTAAGCACCTGGTTTTTATCATTCCCAGACACGACTAATGGGACTGGCATATTTACCGATCAGTTGGGGTGGTTGACCTGGGGTCAATGTATGTAAACATGCCAGTCCCATGGAGTGTCTGGGATTGATGGCTGTTGACCATAACATGCATTTCTTATCTGGGACTTCTTATTCATTCACTGCTTCGTTCATTAGGGCAGGCTTTTGTTCTGACTCTTTCAGAGACGGAGCCGGTGAAAGCATACCTACGTAGGCTAGACTCACCTCGGCATCTGAGAAAAATGGGCTTACTATTTACTATGCCTTACTTCATGATAGACTGATACGTCACCTACTTCGTGAGCTAGTCACAAGCCCACCCTACTCCACCCCGACTCGTGCAGTCCATCCGACTCCGTTGCGGTGCCTCGACGACATGGCCGCGCATCCTCTTCAAGCGCCCCAGGGAGGCACAGCAACAGCTACTGACCTCACGAACCGGTCGCGAGGCGACCGGCCTTCCCTCTCTCTCCCGGGTCTGGCCCCGGGTCTGGAGGGTCCGGGAGCATCTGGGATTTAAAGACATATCATTGATTAAACATGCCAGTTCTGGGGTGTCACCGGTGTCACCCCTTTTGGAAAACGCACATCACCCACCAGGGAAAAAAGATGGAGAGCTCCAGAGCTCCAGCACACGGAGTTCCTTCTCTAAACACCCAAAACACGCGGCTCACAGGCGAGCGCGAAAGCACAACCAAGAACAGAGCGGCAGGTTGAAATGATATGACCCTAACAAACCAGTCTCTCAAAATGCAATCATGGTCTTCATCGCCCTGACCTATCGAATATAATTCTACCTGGAGATCCACTACAGTCTAGTTTTCAGTGCCTTAAATATGTTGTTCATCCATGTTCGATGTGTTTGTTCAGCACCTCATCCCACAACCTGGTCACCTGTCACCTCATCCCACCACGTGCACCTCCGCGTGCCCCTCCGCGTGCCCCTCCGCCCCTTTCAGGTGTCCGCACGACGCCCTCGTGTCCCAGCACGCGCGTGAAGTAGCGACCACAGAAGAGCCATAGGCCCACCTAGTGCCGGGCCGTTGGAAGTCGGGCAGAACGTCGTCCGCCGGGTCCGCCCGGCGGACCCGTACGCCGTGGGCGGCGGACCGTGGACCCGTGTGGATTGAGGTGTTTCTTTAGGGCAATGAGTGCGGGAACTTTCAGCCTAGAGTGACTCAAGTTCAATCAATAGAAGGTCTTTTTTCACATGCCTTTGGTTGCGTTGGGCTCCACAATGGAAAGGAGGTCAGAGATGAAGGCTACATGGAGGGTGTGTGGAGAAAGGGGGTGAGCAAAAATCGCTTATACGAAGTTAGTGCAGCAAAAATACCTTCCACGAAGCTCTGCGAGGTTTTCTGGGATTTTGTTGCAGTCAGTTCTCCTCTATGGCTCACCATTGCACGAACTGTCCACGAATAGCCTTGGGTTCTACGAATGTCCCGCGCCTTCCGCGATGTTAGTAGAATAGGTTATTGCAAAACCCTTTCTGTGCACTACCCTTCCGTTTGCCTCTGAAGAGACGTGGCATTCCATATTCTGAACAGCAAGTATACCAGGCGGGCGCCATGCAAGAATGAGTAAGAATGATTGCAAATATATGGAATACCTGGGCGAGGTGAGAACAAACACAAAAATGCATCTGAGCACTGGTTCCGGGTCACCCAACGCGCTTCGCCGTGTCGTCGGCTAACTCCAAGACCACTGCCTGCGTGTGGAGCCAACCAAATACCGGGTTGAATCGAATAGGGTTGGCGCAATCTGGGGTGGGACAGGGTAACTTTGTGTACTTGCTTCCCAAAATCTTAGTATACTGAACGCCTCGAGTCAAACCAGCCGTGTCAGGTCAGTGCCTGGCTGGTCAGCTTGTGATTCCGGGGTTGTTCGCAGCTCATTCGGTGGGTCCACTGGCCACATCTGTCAGAGCCAAGCGGATGCAAGTGGCGTTCTCGACAAAAGGGGCAGGCTCGACACATGGGTGTAGATTTTTCCATAGGGAGACCGACACCCGTGGCGTTCCTGAGCCCCGGAAGGTTCGGTTCGGGAAATAGACCATTGGTTGAAGGAGAACCCTATGAAAATTCATACTAGACAAACTGGAGTCGGACTCAAAAGCTAAACCAAATCATTGCAGTGTTCCCTCACTTCTCAGATGTTCTTCCTCATAGTCCCTGCCAATTCATCAGCCAGGGCTGAAGCTCTCATTCGATGGGCCAGGGTCATTTCAGCCAAGGCTCTGCAATTTTCGGCCTGATGGAAGAACCGCCATTCGCAGCTGGCTGCCAACCACATACAGAGTCAATCCGGGACCAGTCTGCACGCGATTGGGGACATCCTAGCTCAGTCTAAATGTGCATCCAACCAAGCCCACTCGCAGGCCGGACGAACGGGAGAACCCTTCTCCACCGTCTTCGCTCTTCTGTAATGCAAACTCACATGGACCCTAAGGATTGACCCATCAAAGACCATGTTCCTCATGTGTTCCTCTACGAACACAGAGGCTTTCGGGGGATGGCATGTGAAGGCATGCGAGCAACGCGGTGCTTTTGCACCAGAAATGGACTGGGAAACACCCATCCAATCCCATGTCATCCAAAAAAGACATGAATCACATCCTCTCCGCCCCCCCGGCAGATGGCCGCTCCCCACAGCTCAGCCTTCTCCCCTTCCAGGCGCCGCCAGCGCTCGGCGCTGCGCGACAACACGGAGCCGCGCAAGGAGGCCAGGCTGTGGATCACCTGCTTCAATGCAGGTGCTGGTGCGGCGCTGGTTGGTCTATAGACATATCAAGAGAGGAGGGCCAGGAATTCCTGCCTGCCTGCTTGCGAAGTACTGCAGGGAGTGAATGGATGTATAGAAATCCATACAACTAATCAAGGGGAAATGCATAGAAATGTAACCATTAGGAGCAAGGGGCCTGAATGGCACACAACTTTCAAGGTTTACGGATTAGTTCGTTTTTTATCTACTCCAGGATTCAGGATGGTTGTAAAAGAAATGAGGACTGTGAAAATAACTATTACTCATCCCATCTCTGACCTCAGTAATGTTGCCTCGTGTTCGGAAACTTGCCACCAAAAACACGATCAACCAGTGAGCAACAAAACAACAACAATCCAAAACATCAAAAAAATGTAAAAAAATTGCCCCCACCAACTTTGCTGGAAACCACCAACAGCGTTACCTCCAACAAAAGAATTCGGCCACAAAAACCAGCAGCATCCAGCCCTTTCTTCAGCATCGCCGAAGGCGTCTCTAAGCGACCAGCGCGCGGCGCCGCCTCCATGGCCTCGTCGTGGGCGCGCACGAAGTGCCGGGGCCTGCGGGATGGACCGGTCGAGCACCCGAGCGTCGTCCGTCGAAAGCCGTCGGTCAAGCGGTCGGAATCGTCTTTGTGTGAAAGGACGTAGAAATCCGGAAAAACGTGTGACAGCATGACTTGTACATGACTTTGCAGGAGTCCACCAGATATATACCTAGCCTAGACCCTGAGTGACTTCCAATTGCAACGGCTTCTTCCTCGTGTGTCCCTATATCTCGCATGGGACTGGAGTGGTGTGAGCTCAAACCAGGAAAATGGTATCCAACCACCACAGCTACAGTCATCACACAAAGACCACAAGGACATGCAGCGGTTTCAGATGGCACAAACCCTAAGATGTCGTTTATAGGGGTCCATCTAAACAACCTAATAGGGGGATTGTCCAATCTACTGTGAAAACCACAAGTATTCCAGTACACAGAACAGATCAGAACAGTGAATGCCCGACCATATCGAGACACTCCACACATCCATACTCTGCTGAAGTTCTGAAGGGGATTCAAGAAGGAACATCGTGCTTTGCGCATGCAATGACCAATCTTCAACATATTGCCTATTTCACACATTCCATGAAATTCTTCCCCCAGTCAAGGATGCCACGGCCAACACTACACCAAGGCTCAGGGTTAAAGCTTCTTGCTCTGGACGCAAATTCCATATCACCTCCACTCCACTCTCCGCGTACCAAAAGCCCGCGCGAGGCGGTTGGAAGTTCACCAAGCCTCGGTCTAGGTAGGCAGTTGTGCCCCTTTTTGCTCGGAGGAAAGGGTCTATATGAGTCCAGGAGTCCAACGCAGATGGGGGGCGTGCAGTTGTTGATCAAGAGTCTATAGGTGCCAGGAGGGTCCAAGTACCTTCTGAGAAGGTACGATTTGATCCCTAGGGATTAGATGTAAGTGCCAAGGGAGTTGCCAGGGTCTCAGCCCAGAAGTTGGACGGACAAAATGACCCATGTGTTGCCGGAGAAGTTCCTGGAAAACACAAACTCTTCATACTCGGCCATCACTTGTGTAGGGCATTTGACTCATTTGACCCTTCCAATTTCTCAGGTGGACGTGAATCTGCTGAAAACAAACAAAAAAACACGTCCGCTCCTTGGAAAAACTCTGCAAGTCCTTGAGCTTCTCTGCACCCCTGAGACTTTGGTCGACGATCCCAAGTCTCCAGACCAGCCGACTCGACCCATGTGGTTGAATAGTTTTTGCCAAAAACCTAGCAAGTAACAGCAACTCCCGTGTTTGAGGGTGTGCAATATACGCATATATGCATATATATATATATACGCATGCATATATACGCCATCCATGCATATGTATTCAAATACTCCAAGCATCATCTGTGCTCCACGTTGGTTGCGTACTTGTAAATAGTGCCACCCTCCAAAGACCCTTTGAAACAGGAAAAAAAACAAAACACTGCTTAAGGAACTTCTCTTTTCCTATCCAAATTACAGTATATTTGAATCTGATAAATTGCTATACAGGAACAACTCTTTCCAAATTCAACTGTATTTGAATCCGATTCACCATTGATTACCTATTACTTTATCATCCTATCGTCACGATCGTCGTTCGTTGTTTTGAAAAACCCTTCGAATCCCTTCGAGCAGTTCTCCATCAGGACTCTCAGCCGCTCCACCCGCCCACGCCCAACCCGGGCAGCGCCGACTCTTGGAGACCACCACGCCAGGCCCGACGCCCGGTGCAGCGGGGAGCGCCTGGGGGGTGGGGGCGGAGTGAGTATTTCTGCTGGGTTTTTGTTCTATGATGTTCTAGTTCTAGAGCTTTCCACAGAAACATTGAGTTGTCAAGTGTTTTGTTCATTATTTATTGTTGAAGACAAAGGAGCTGTTCTTCAGCTCCATCTGGACATTCTAATGTACATGTCCGCTATCTGTGGGTGAGTGATCGATCTATGGCACGTTCGAGAGAAGGCGCTTCAGAGACTACTGACTGCAACAAGCCCTCAGGCTTGTCTTAGATGTCGGTGACACGCACCACCAATGGGCTGCAGTACCCCCGGCAGCCCAGTAGCACAGGCTTGGACGGACTGGGATAGTGTTTCCCTAGTAGCCAGTGACCTGTCACGGGGCTGACCAGCTCCGGTTTGGCAGTCGTGACATGTTGTGAGACCAAACGTCATACGTTTGAACCAATTGAACCGTTCCGATGAATTTGGCCGTGCAAACCAATTTTGGAACTTAACCAGACACGACCCATGGGACTGGAATATATGCATAAATTGACCCCCCAAACCACCCCAACTGATCGGCATTTATGGCAGTCCCATGGAGTGTCTGGGTGATGCTTTTTGAGGGGGCGTCCGCTTCGCCCGTGAGCCTGAAACCACCGAACAACCAAAGGCTTCCGGTGCGTGGTCGCTTTGGGCTTCCAAACCGTGCAGCGGCCACAGCAACTGGCCTTCCAAAGATTGGGCTTCTGTCGTGTTAAAACAAACAGAAGACTGCTAAAAATATCCATCTTTAATCCATCTGTCTGTCTGTTATGTTGGTACTTGCCACAGTATTCTTTTTCAATCTTTTTAACAACATCCGCCAACGGGTGATTGGGAGAGCCTGCCACGTGTTTTTTCCATTTGCATTCGCCGAAGACGTCAATGTCCGTGGCAGCGCGTGTAGTGGTTCCCAATTCGGTTTGGGGGAGATGATCATGCCGCCAAAAAGAAAGAACAATTATATATATATAGCCCCATGCTTGGGGAGTTGTGCGTGCCATGGGCATTCAGCACACATGAGATGTGTTCAACGAGAAGACTCTGTTTCATGAGATGCTGGTGCAAGAGCCTCACTCAGACCAAGCTGGAGAAAACGCTAGGGTGCCAGTCTCTATAAAAACGTCCTTGTGGCCCTTCCGCCGCCAGCACCCAACAACATGCTCTGTCACCCCAGCCAGGCGTGAGGAGGTCAGCAGCTTGAGCAGCCTCCCACCTGCCCCTTTTCAACCCGGTTTTGCTCTACCAAGAGAGGTTTCTGTGACCTGAACAAGGACCGGAATTACTGGGGAAGCTCTACCACAGTTTTTAAGTTATAGGACCCTACTGGGGAGACTACAATAGTCTATCTATCGGCTTCTTCCACAGAGGGACCAGGTCCCTCGCACCGGTCGTCCGGTCGCCTCTTCCGAGGGCCGCACCTGGAAGGGGATCGGATGTGCCACTGGCACCGGTTGGGTGCTACGACTGAACCATAGTACTGGGGGCATCCATCTTAGGCCAAGCCCTCAAACACAGTAGGTGTTGTAGGTGCTAAGCATGCATTGATGTTGCTATATATACACACACTACTATTTAGAGGGGTTTGATCACTCCGTATAGCGGTCCAAGCAGTGGAAAAACTGCTGTGAATGTCAAATCTGTCTTGCCAATGTTTCTTACGTGGTGCAAGCAACCCTGGGGAAAACCAGAGCCTGGTTTGCAATGGTTTGCAACCCTCGGACAGGATGGAAAACAGATGTCAGGTGAGGAGACATAGCGGCCCATCTCTTGAGCCAACCGCCCACCTCGGCGTAAAAGCCACAGCGGCTTTGAATCCGAATGGCACCCTGCCGGCACCGGGAAGAAGACATGGGGGATCTTCTTGCTCCACTAGATGGTAGACTGTAGCCTCCTGATTATAATTATACATGGAGTCTAACAGTGTAGACTGTAGACTGTATAATCAAAACCCCCAAACATGAAGTTTTTAACATGTAAAACCATGTATACACTGTAACGCTATCCTCTAAAATGTTCTTCTTTAACAGGACAGGGGGGGGGGCGGGATGTACAGGATCCATGAGAAGCGTCACGCGTCCAAATCGGTTTGAATTGGTCCAATGTCTCCTTCGCCCTGTTTTCTTGTTTCTTCGGGGGATTTGAACGAACTCCAAATCAGTGCGACTCATGTGAGAGTCGATTTGTCCTTCACCAGGAATTCAACATTGAGATCTCCATATTAAACACTTGTGTAAACTCATGTAGATGCGGGTACCTGGTATAACCTCCTAAACACCTTGCATATGCATGCGTGAAGAACCCAAGACACCCCATGAAGCAGTACCATGGATAATTATTGATTGAACAATAATGAACAGTATGGACTCCATTGTCCATTGGGAAAATACATGGTTTTGACATGTTTTTACACATCCACATGTTAATTTGGGGAACCGCAACCGAGTTCTGAACTCAAGTTCCAGATTCCAAAGCAGTAGTGACGACCAGATCCATAGATCTCCACAGGGCCTTCAGCTCCGACTGGTCTTCCAACCTCCCCAGCCTAGCGTGTGTCCAATGGTTGGATATATATATATATATCTATATATCTACAGTATAGGTCATTGTCTATCAAATAGAAACCCTGGGCATCCCTGGGCCCAAATCTTGGTCTGTTCCGATCTTTTGACTCTATTTGAGACTGAACTCGATCCATGGAACACCACGGTGAACCCCAAGGTGATCCCTGCACCTCTTCTTGTTTCATAGGGGAAACCCAATTGACATCAATCCCAAACGCTCCTGGAGCCTCATGTGGGGGCCGGCCCCTCATATGCAGGGGTCCAGCAAGGGGCGCATCTCTTGGGCTTTGCGGCGCCGGCCTCCGAGCCGCTAAAGAGTTCCTGGACAACGCCCACCTGGCGCACAGGATTGACAAATTGGTCTGGGATGAAGGACACAATTCTCACGACCGATGGGACTGGCATATTTATACCTACATTGAGGGTACTTGACCTGAGGTCAATGATGGTCAATGTATGTACAATCAGCTGTGGCTCAAAACCGGTGGATTTTGCTGTTTTTTTTCTCACCGAAAAATGAACAGATTACCAGCAAGATCAACGACCCCCATAGACCCCCATAGATCTCCCTCGATCTCGGGCCCATGCATCCCCATGACCCACGGCCGTTTTCGGATGGTGCATCGTTGGGGGAATGATGGCACTCATGCCCAAGGGAACCTCCGAAACGCTTCATCCAATCGACTCCATAGACTTCGTGCGGAGCGATTCATCGTGGGCAGCGGGGGGGGTGATGCTGTAGGTGGTGAGCGCTGACTGGTGTGCGGAGTGGCCCATGCTGAGTGGTTCGGTTTCTGGAAGATGCTGAGCATGTTTTGCGGTGCGATCCTCAAGGTCACTGAAACATCACTGGTTGCACCACTGGTCAGAAGATGTCAGCAGGGTCTAGTACAAATCCTCAAAGATGCTGACATAAGGGATGAGTCTTCAACCACCGGGCAAAGCCAGGGCAAATCCGCAAGCCTCACCAGATGAACATAGATGAACATTCAGCCAAGACGTGGCTTCGGCCGACCGAACACTTCCATTCAGTCAACTCTTCTTAGAAGGAGATATATTGTGGCCACTCGGTCCAGGTCGTAGAATGATATACCCCATATAACTCATAATAGATCCATATATAATCGTATACTACAAAGGTTCTTTTCTCTCCCAAACCCCAAAAGATTAGTTTTGCTCTCCGACTCTCCGCACTCTCCGGAGTCTTTCCCTGTTTTTTTTTCCCTATTTTGGCGTCGCGAAGGGTTCTCGTTGAACTCTGGGGGTTCGAGGCTTCGTGGGTTCCAAGTAAGAATGCTCCGTTCGTAGCGATGCCCTTTGTTCCCAGTAGCGTCCTTGCTCCTAGTAGTAAGGCCAGGAGCCCCTCGTAGAGGACCTTGTTACTAGTAGCCTTGTTTTTTTGTCTCCAAACCGCTCCAAAGCGCTCCACCGCTGCCGAGCCGCCGGTGCTTCGATCTTCTCGAGGCGCCACACGCCGTGGCCCGGAACCTCACCGTCGGAGTCAGCGGGCGGAAAGGGCAGGGCAGGCACATATATGGCGGGCTTAGATGGGAGAAAGAACATGCCCAGAGGCGACCCTGGACCTGAACCAACTGCTACATGTTCGAGGTCCAAAACCCGTGAGGGTCAAAACCCTAGCGAACTGAGGGTCCAATGAGCCTTTGGGTGGGAAAAAACGGTTTCTATACTCTCAGAACAATTCGGAGGCGAACTTGTTCGGTTTTTTGAAGGTGTTCATTCCATGATTCATCCAAGCTGTTCCAGGCGTCTTGCCTGGATGGTGGCCAGGACACTGGTCGCAGCCCGTGCTTTTCTCTTTTCTCTGTATCTTTTCTCTTTTCTTTTTCCCCTACTTTTCAGTGGTAAACTAAATGGCCAGTGGGACCTCTTCATATGGCAGGCTTAATAATATGAATGACCGTCTCCATTATTCAACCTCATAGACTGGACATTAGAAATGATCCATCTGATCCTGTTGATAAAGAATCTAAAGCCTTCACGTCCCAAAACCATCTACCACTCACTACCACTCATGATTGAACATAAAAACTGGATCCATCTGGATCTCCAAAGAAAGCTCATCCTGAAAAGGAAGCCCTGGTCCCGTTCGATTCTGACTCGTTCATTCGGACTCTAAATCCCGGGCCTCGCCTCTAAGCCAGGCTCGCTGGATGGTGACGGACTGGTGAGCGCGCTGAGGGGCCACACGAGGTGTCCCGCCTGGACCCACCTAGGCGATCGGCGATCGGCGGAAAAAACCGCCACCGGGGTCTTTGAGACCGGTTCCGCCTGGCGATCCCCAAGGCCCCGCATGGAGCAGACTGAAACACGGAGCTACGTCTGGACCGCTTCTCCACAGGCTCAAACCAAGTGGATTTTGTCCAGGTTCCATGTGACGTCTCAAGCCCAGGGCGTCAAAGAAATGTGGAACGATGTCGAAAGAAGATGTAAAGATGACAGCACCCCCAGGGCGTACGAGTTGATGGGTGAAAACTGCAGGTATTAGCGGCGATGTGGGTGCTGCTGGATATAGATAGATAGATAGATAGATCGATAGATCGATAGATCGATAGATCGATAGACAGACAGACAGACAGACAGACAGACAGAGAGATAGATAGATAGAAACTACATTGCTCATCTGCATTCACCTCCTTGGGGCAACCTACCTCAAAGTTAATATATAGTAACCTAATGACCTATATCACCCACCCTCTCTGGTTAATAGGGGCCTAATGCACCCTGTAGGCGAATTCCTGGCTACTATATAGGGGGTGAGGAATATATCCACCTGCCCTATTCCTAATATGACCTATATAGTAGCCTAATTCCTCACCCTCTCTGGCTACAGGTGGGGCATCAAAACCCGATGAGGTCGGCCAGAGAATGGTCTTCCACACGAGACTTGGTCGGCGGTTTCGTCTCCGAGATCTTCCAAGCGATGGCACAAAAGGTCAATCTGTCCCTCTTGACTCTTTACTGTTTTCTCTTTTCAGGGAGTCCAACACCTCATGAAGGGCTGGGCTGTCAGTTCCGAAAAAAGGACCCGGTGATTTGGATTCTGCGCTGAAGCGCCGTCAACTCTGCATGGCACCGTTTTCTCGATTCAAATGCCCCAGCACATGCCGGGCGAGTCACGGTGAGACCTTCGACTGTCCCAACGGGTGCAACGGAAGGTGCGGTGTTCTGAAGGTGCTGAGTTTTCCAAGTGTTGGGCAATGCCTCACCCTCTGAAAATGACAAAAAAGCAAAAATATGGCAAACAAGGCTGTCTCTCTTTCCTATGGCACGGAGACTTAGACGATTCACAACTAAATTTGGGAAGATTCTACTTTCTACTTTCTCTCTCTCTCTCTCTCTCTAACAGCAAGTTTTCCCATACCACTTCAACTCAGTGTGGCGGCCATCAAAACAGGTCAAAACCCTGCAAATTGGCTCAGAAGGATTCCTGACAATTGTCTGGCCTCATAGATGTACCGGACCATGTCCATGCACTTGTGAGATTCAGGAGGCCCAAGACTTGACATTGGATCTATGGATATTTGTTCACAGCTTGAGAGAAGGAAAAAAAGTCAAGCCCAACCCTGCGATGTGTTGTTCTATTTTTCGATGATACGATTGAGACCTGTATATTACCTGGCGACCCCATGCTCTGCCAGTCCCCTGACCGCAGTCGATTGAGAAGCCGATTTTCGAAGCCCACGCCACGCAGGCGGCTGAAAATCGAGGCGGCTGACGTGTCCGGAAGCTCGAGGAGTTCGTTCATGGCAATCAGAATCATTTTTACTGCACAACCCCATGCATCACCTGGAAAGTACATGGAACTAAGGGGGTTCCCAGTGGAATCACAGGTAAGGGATGATGTAGCTCCTATCATCAAGTGTCTAGTGCAGGAATAATATTGTTAAACAATGTTTGTTCATGATAAAGGCCGGAACCATGGCTTGGTTCCACAACTCATGCCTAAACAAAAAATGCCTAAACAAAAAGCAGTTCAAACAATATATAATTGTAAATAATGCATATATTATTTGTATGATCAAGGAGTCATAAATATGTGTGACTATATTATTTCATATATATTATAATGATATACAGCAAAAGATAGCGATAGAACGACTTATAACTCTCACACCATCCCTTCCAGCTCTCTCAGTCGTTCACCATCACTTCCGACCCAAACCGTCGAACTTCCGAACCGCACTGGGCGCCCCAAAAGGCGGCACCAGTCGACGCCAGCGGTTTTTCGTTGGAAGAACGCGAGCCCAGCGCGGCCCAGCAAGATCTGCGGGCAAACTTGCCTGACATGACCATTGGATCCTTGTTACATCTTATGACAGAAATGGTCGGTGACAAGCCACTCGGATCCTGATCTACAAAAAACTGGATGTTTCTTGAAGCTGTTGGTGCGACTCCTCTGACTCCTCCCTTTACCTTGGCCACTTCTCTTCCCTTAGCTCGGCTCCGACCAAACTTCCGTGTTCAAAATGTTCTGGTCTTGGCAGCACTCAGGAATCTTCACTGAGGTGCATCTACAGAAACATCCACCTTCCACTTCGTTGAAGCTCTGTTTCAGGTTCTCTTTTGAAAAGGAAACACCCCGCCAGGCCACGGAAGCTCCTCAGATCTCAACGAAGGAATCTCCGACGCAACGCAGCTACGCAGCTACATCTCGTTCAGCTCTCGCTCATCCGGAAGCCTGGCTTGGAAGGCACGGAGTGTTGGCGAGAGAAGGTGACTGATGGCTTGACTCGAGGGCCATGGGTTCGAGTGGATTGAGGGTAGATTTTCGGCGCGGCACAATCATCAAAAAGGTGGTTTATGTGGACCTGCAACCAAAAAAGACATCTTGGGGCGCCAGTAGTGCCTTGTACTCTGAAACCACTGTAAAAGTTCTCGTTGTCTGAGTTGGGTTTTTTCTGAAAGATTTAGCATGACCAAGGTAGTTCCAGTAGTTGTTGGTATCTTTTGATGTATCCCAGGTGGTGCAAGATTACTGGCCCTACTAAAGGCATGTGTTCCAATTTCGTGGGTCTACAAATGTCTACACACCACATCCGGGGGGATCACTACACCCAGTCCTTTCGGAGAATTGCATGTGATTGCTTGATTTGTCCAACAGAAAGCTCCCTTTTTTTGCCCGGACCCTGTCTACCCCCCCCCATCAACCGCAGTCTACTCCTCTCGCGAGAGCCGCAATAGTCCTCCCCATGTTGGCGCCTAAAGAGCTTGAAGAAGCGGCTGAGGCCCGGCATCACCTGGGCTAAATGCAGGCGCCTTTGTCCACAAGAACCGCAGCCACCTTGAGATGGCTTGGGCCGTGGAACATGAACGACTTCCGAAGCCGACCGCGTGACCAACCAACACAAACTCGACCTCTTGACTTGACTATATCATATCTGGCGGATCTACATCTGTTTAAGTCATTTCCAAGTATCAACCCAAAACAACTCACCAATAAGCCGGCCGCGGGCCCGCTTTCGCTTACACATGCTTCAGACCCTTTCGTCTCCAGTGCTTCTCGGCACGTTGTCGGCCACCCAGGGCGTGAAGAGGATCGCGCCGATGTAAATCAGCGGCTTGAAGGGAATGGACGCCGTGTAGGCTCCTGGCGGCGCGTCCAGAGGGTGTGGCCAGCCACACGACGGCGACGGGACCAAAGAAACGCCGTCCAGGTGAGCAACTGGAAGGCAGCTTTCTGCGGAGAGCTGTTCCACAAGTTGGGCAACAGGTTCTGGTTAAGAGGGGCTTGCACTGGGAAGATTGTGGCAAGCAAAAGACTCCCAATATCTCCCAATGTAGCAGTCAACTGCCGACTCAGCTTGTTCGGATGAGCAGATTACGTTGATGAGGAAATCTGAAGCGACACTTGGTCGCCGACAATCTAATACGCGGAACTACTTCATGGATGGAGGGTGACTACTTCATTGATGACCCAAAAGTCATCTCAAGATATTGAGCAGTGACTGTTCTCTGCATTGAACTATACTCTGGTGCACGGTGAAGTGACCCCTGAGCCTTTGGGGCACCGGGCGAAAGCGTTCTACCCGAACCAAATTCCGGGCCCTGAACCCATTGAGAAAGGACTTGGTTCGGGTCCAGACCCCTGCGTTTGGGATGCGTGTCGTGTGCAAGGATTCTTTGGGTAGTTGATCACAGTCGATCGTGCAGCTTCATGTCGAAGGACCGGAAGGACCATTTCATCCATGAGGTTTCCCCACCCCAGCCCCACCCACACAAAGAAACCGCCGCGCCGCCGCTTTCGATTTCGACCACCTGCATTGGTTTTCGTAGGAAAAAACAAACACCTCCAAACTTCCATATAGGTCCCCCCCTTCTTCGACGTGCTGCGTTGCTGTTGCGTACGACCTGTGTGTTGGTACCGGATCTCCTGGCATGTCCGGAGCCTGGCATGGGTCACAACCCTGTCTCCTGCCATGACCAGGCTCATGGTGGCGGCTCCAGTGAGCACGGTGGTGTAGTAGGCATAGCTGATGAACGGGATGTTCAAGGTCCAGTAGAGTGTGTAGGACTCGGACGAGAAACCAGGACACCAGGCATGCGGCATGAGTCTCATCTGAACTGAACTGAACTACATTGACTTCAGAGTACAATCCCCAAAAGGTCCTTTATATGGACTCCCATATAGAGATTATAAAGGACATCATTGGGTTTGTGCCATCTACTCTGAAACCACTGTAATTGGATATACTACGTTCTTCCTTGGTGAGAAGATGAACTGAAGGAAGGTGGGGCATGCACTTCTGAACACTGGATAGTTGTTTCTGAAGGAAGGTGGAACATTGCGAAGATGCGCCATCCATGGGCCATCACTATCAGATGTTACTTCTTCTGGTGCTTCGACCTTCCCTTGGTGGCCACAGGACCTCCTCTTTTGCCCCAACAACCGGCTGCCGGACCCTGTACCTTGTGCTCGCTCCATGTGCTCCGTCGATCCAAGGAGGTCGATCGGTTGTCCGGTGGATCCAAGGAGCTAAGATCAAGGAGATGGGGAAGGCAGGGCCAAGTCCTTGAGCAAGGAGCCATCCTGGAAGCGTATACAAGCAGGTGGTGAACGATGAGAGAGAGGCGATAGCATGCGATAGCATGCGATAGCTGGTTGGGAGAGCGAAACTGGGGAGATGGGTTTACAGGAGGGTCCAAGCAACATTGACCTGCTATACTACATTCTTATACCTTAATACCCAAACACTCCATGGGACTGGCCATCCTTTTCTCGACCACGGGCGAAATTGCTTTCAGGGGCTCAACGACGTGGATGTCTCATGCTGAGGAGCACTGGGACGTCTCAACGGCGCCCTGGACAAAAGG